ATAAAATAATCATAATCTAACTAACATTAATCAACTATTAATCTAACAAATCTATAACTTCCTTTAACTCTCTTTTAAAACAAATATACAATTATTAAATACCATAATATTAACATAATTTTAAATATTAAAAATCAGAAGTTCATTCAAAAACCAGGTGATATTTTTTGGTTCCATATTTCAACTCAATATAATCAATCCATCTTCTCCAAACCAATATATATATATATATATATATTTGTTGTTTTTTTATCCTCCTCTCGCAGGCAAGGAAAGAACTGGAGATGCACCGGGCCAACTGGTTAAAGTGGGAAGCCCTCCACCGGCTTTTGCAGGAAGCTTTGCTGGAACTGGGAGCCGATCCTGCCCCCCAGGAGAAAAAAGTAACGTCGGGAGAGAAACACAACGCGCAACGCAGCCGACTTGAGCGCGCGCTGGGGTGGATTGGCCGGCGAGGGAGCGTTTGGCGTTCGCTTGGCCGGCGGGCGCGAAGTAAACCGCCCGGCGGGAGAGCAGATTTGGTGGTCTTATCTCAGCAGAGCAGAAAAGGGGCATAAAAATTAATTGGTTTGGGCAGAGGGCTTGGTGTAAACTGGGTAATTGTACATCCTGTTAAGCGGGATCCAGGGGTCCGGCGCAGAGGAGGAGAGCAGCCGATAAACCCGGGAGGCAGAATGGGAAAAAAGGACCTGGAAGACGATGGAAACCCTGAGGGAAAGGAGAGGTTTTCCTAAGGGATGTGAAAAATGGGGTGTCCTTGGAGAAAGGGAGGCTCGGAGCACTTTCGATGCGACCGGGAGCCAAGAAGGGAATGGCCGTCGTCGTGCAAGAGATGAGCTATCGAGGGGGGTCCTTGATGCTCTCTGAGCTTGCTGGTCTTCCCGGAGACGTTTCGCTGCCGAAGTAGGTGACGTCATCAGGGCTAGCAGACGATGAGTGACTTGCCCTGTGAGTTTTGGCAGGATGTCCTTGCTGGTTCCTTGATTAGGAACTTTGAGATATATATAAAATGGGTAAACAGACAGCAAAACCCCACTCCCTTGCAGCACTGACACTGTTAACTAGTTTGGTGATGTAACGCCTTCAAGAAAACAACCAAGCTCCCCCTCCTGTTCCTTTTCTCCTCCTCCTCCTCTTCCTTTTTCTTCTTCTCTTCTCCTCCCCCTCCTCCTTATTCTTATCCTCCTCCTCTTCTTACTCTCCTCCCCTCCTCTTCCTCCTTGTCCTCCTCCCCCCTTCTTCCTCTTCCTCTCCTCTCTTCCTTCTCCTCCTCCTCCCACTCTTCCTCCTCTTCTCCTCTCCTCCCCCTCCTCCCCCTTATTCTTATCCTCCTCCTCCTCTTACTCTCCTCCCCGCCTCCTCTTCCTCCTCCTCTTCCTCTTCTCCCCCTCCTCCTTATTCTTATCCTCCTCCTCTTCTTACTCTCCTCCCCTCTTCCTCCTTGTCCTCCTCCCCCCTTCTTCCTCTTCCTCTCCTCTCTTCCTCTTCTTTCTCTTCTCCCCCCCTCCTCCCCTTTATTCTTATCCTCTCCCCTCCTCCTCTTACTCTCCTCTTCCCCTCCTCTTCTTATTCTCCTCCTCCTCCCTGCCTCCTCTTCCTCCTCCTCCTCTTCCTTCTCCTCCTCCCCTCCTCCTACTCTTCCTCTCCTCTTCCTTCTCCTCTTTCCACTCCTATTCTTCCTCTTCTCTTCCTCGCCTCTTCCTTCTCCTCCTCCTTCCTCTTCTCCTCTCCTCCCCTTCCTCCCCCTTATCCNCTCTTCCTCCTCTTCTTACTCTCCTCTTCCTCCTCCTTCTCTTCCTTCTCCCCCTCCTCTTCCTCCTCCTCTTCCTCCCCTCCACAAACCTCACTCCCTTGTACTACCCGATGTTTCCTAGTTGAATAACAAAATGCCTGCAAGATAACAACCAAGGGCACCAGGGACATCACCATCCTCCTCCCCCTCTTCTTCCTCCTCTCCGCAAACCCCACTTCCCTTCCAGCGCCGATGACGTTACCTACTTTGGTAATGAAACGTCTGCAAGAAAAGCACCTGGCTCAGAGAGCGTCAAACGGCCCACCGTTCAACCCTGAGCTACCGACCCTCTCTTCCACCCATAGGCTTTTGAGTTGAGGTCACACAGGGTCCGTGGAAGGGCGCGTTGATCCAGTTGTTCTCTTGCAGCCCCGCTCGGCTGTTGGGATCAAATTAGGGCCCAGCCATCCCCAGCATCCCTTGAATCACTCAAGAGAAAAGAGAGGCTAAAAATATAATCTGGGGGGGGGGGGTGGGCTCCTTCTTGCTTCGAGCTAACCACCATAAAACAGGCTCAGCCGTTAATTATAATTAAACAAGCCGCTCAGAACCCAGGGCCCCCGTTGCGGTTGAACCTAACGGCCAATTCACTGGAAGCTTGGTCTGATTTCTTTGTCTTTGCCCTGGTGGCTCAGCCAGCCAGACTTTTTTTAAACTGGCTTAATGTGTTTTTTCTGGAGGGAACGTTTCTGGTTGATTGAAGTTGGTTTATCTCTCTCTTTCCCCCCCCCCCCTAAATCTTCTTTTCCTGCCTTCAGTTCCTGGAAACCCTGGAACAGCAACTGCTGGTAGCGGAGTTGAAACGGATGCTTGATCTGGATTCTTGCCTGCCAAACGCCCGTCCGTCTGTCTTAGGCCTGCAGCCGGGTCATTTAACGGAGTATCTCCCTGCTCACCAAGTAAGGGTCCGTGGGGGGGGGGTCCTCAAGTCCTCCACGGTTGTCCCAAATTTGGCTGCTTTTTTTTTCACGAGGCCAATGGACTTCCTTGTTTTTCTTTGGAGACGTTTCGCTTCTCGTAAAAGAAGCTTCTTCGGCTCTGACTGGATGGTGGGGGAATGGCAGGATTTATAATAATAATAATAGTAGTAAAGTTGGAAGGGACCTTGAAGGTCATCGAGTCCAACCCCCTGCTCAGGCAGGAAACCCTACACCATTTCGGACAAAGGGCTGTCCAGTCTCTTCTTAAAAACTTCCAGTGTTGGAGCATTCACCGCTTCTGGAGGCAGGTTGTTCCACTGGTTAATTCTTCTAACTGTCAGGAAGTTTCTCCTTAGTTCTAGGTTGCTTCTCTCCTTGATTAGTTTCCACCCGTTGCTTCTTGTCCTGCCTTCAGGCGCTTTGGAAAATAGCTTGACTCCCTCTTCTTTGGGGCAGCCCCTGAGATATTGGAACACGACTATCCTGTCTCCCCTCGTCCTTCTCTTCATTAAACTAGACATACCCAATTCCAGCAGCCGTTCCTTATATGCTTTAGCCTCCAGTCCCCTAATCATCTTTGTTGCTGTTCTCTGTACTCTTTCTAGAGTCTCAACATCTTTTTTACATCGCGGTGACCAAAACTGGATGCCGTATTCCAAGTGTGGCCTTACCAAGGCATTGTAAAGTGGTATTAACACTTCACGTGATCTTGATTCTATCCCTCTGTTAATGCAGCCTAGAACTGTGTTGGCCTTTTTGGCAGCTGCAGCACACGGCTGGCTCCTATTTAGGTGATTGTCCACTAGGACTCCGAGGTCCCTCTCACAGTTACTACTCCTTTGCAGTCATTTATACTCCTTTGCAGTCATCTGGTCATTTGTATTCTTTTAGGTGATTGTTGAGGCCACTTGGAGGTTTGTCTGTGTCCTCAGGGTCACCTGAGCGGTGCAAATGGACATGGAGCCTTGTCTGCAGGATATTTTCTGCCCTGGATCCCTTCACTGTTGAAGATAGACCCAGGCTGTTGGGGATGAGTCCGTGTTGTCTGCATCTCAAACCGAAGTACAAATGTTTTCTGGAAATCTGTTCATCCTCCCGCACCATTTGGAGGGTGTCCATCCCAAAGCGCACGGCTAAATGTCGATGGAGCTTCTCAGACATCCGAGTCACGATTGTCCCACAGGTGCTTTTTCAAGAGGCAACTGGACTTTCTTGTTGTTGTTTTTTTTAAAGACATTTCGCTTGTCATCCCAGGAGCTTCTTCAGTTCTTCTTCAGTTCTTCAGAACCGTCGGAACAGACAATCAAAGAGCTGAAGAAGCTTCTTGAAGTTGTAGACGGGAGATAGATGACGGTCATATCCTTCCCCATCCCGGAGTATAAATCCTTCCACTCCCCACCATCCAGTCAGAGCTGAAGAAGTTCCTGGGATGAGAAGTGGCCTCCTGAAAAAAAGCACCTGTGGGTCACCAAGTAAGATCCACCTGTTCCTTCCCCATCAATTGCGGGGAGGCCGTTCTGTTGAAACTGCGCAAATAAACTTGCTGTGTAGTCCTCAACTTAACGACCACAGCTGGATTCCAAATTTTCTGTTTGCAAAGTCAGACCGTGGTTTAAGTGAATTTTGCTCCATTTTACGACCTTCTTTGCCACCGTTCGTAAGTGAATCGCCACAGTTGTTAAGTGAGGAGCACAGTCGTTAAGTGGATCCGGCTTCCCCCCCGCCATTGATTTGGCTTGTCAGAAGGTTGCAAAAGGGGATCACGTGACCCTGGGACTCTACAACCGTCCTGAGTACATGCCAGTTGCCAAGCGTCAAAATTTTGATCATGTGACCACGGGGATTAAAAGTGTGAAAAATGCTCATAAGTCACTTATTTACTGTAGTGTCGTTTTAACTTCAAACAGTCATTAAATGAACTGTTGTAACTCAAGAACTGCGTATAATATTCCCTGCTGGAGCTTCACTCCTATTTAGGGACCGAGATAGCTACAATGTGGACCTAATCCTCAATTTACAACGAAAAATATGACAGATCTACTTCCGGGTTACTTATAATCTGGATTCAAAGTTCTGACGGTCGGGTCTCCACGGTCACATGACCAAACTTCAGGCAGTTGACAAGATGGCTGCCATTTGCAGCCATTTGCAGCGTCCCAAGGATCACGTGATCGAGTTTTTACATTGGTTTTGCCAAAAATTGACATAGTGAATTGTTCATAGTGAACTGTTAGTTTGCTTAACGACCGCAGATTCGTTTAATGGCCCCCCTCAAAAAGGGGGAAAAAATATCAGGTCAGTCACATGACTGACTCATTTTGCGACTGTTTCGATTTACGACCGTGGTGGACAGGCTCTGTTACGGTTGTATGTTGAGGTCTGCTTGTAATGTCAAAAGACTCATTGTTCATGTTTAATTCTGCGCAGAGGAACAGGGTCTACACAGTAACATCCCTCATACAGGTAGTCCATGGCCAGGGGTCTTCAAACCTTGGCAACTTTAAGACTTGTGGACTTCAACTCCCAGAATTCCTCAGCCAGCCCTCAGGGCTGGCTGAGGAATTCTGGGAATTGAAGTCCACAAGTCATAAAAGGGCCACGTTGGAAGAGCCCTGCTTGTGGACTTCAACTCCCAGAATTCCTCAGCCAGGCATGCTGGCTGAGGAATTCTGGGAGTTGAAGTCCACAAGTCTTAAAGTTGCCAAGTTGGAAGACCCCTGTCCTTGACTTACGACGATTGATTTAGTGACAAATCGTTTCTCAGTGACAACAGCACTGAAAAAAAGTGACTTATAGCCATTTTTCACACAACTCTCGCAGTATCCCCATGGTCACATGATCAATCTTCGGACGCTTGGCAACTGACTTGTTCTTACGACCGTTGCAGTGTCCCGGGGGGTCACGTGATCCCCTTTTGCGACATTCTGACAGGAAAGTCAATGGGGAATCCAGATTCACTTAACGACTGTGTTCCTAATTTAACAATGCAGTGATTCACTTAACAGCTGTGGCCAGGAAAAGTTGTGTAAAATGGGGCGAAACTCTCTTAACGTCCGTCTCGCTTATCAACAGAAATTTTGGGCTCGGCAAGTATAGGACTAGCTGTAATCCTGGAGACAACAGGTAATAATCGAAATTTGTCAGAGAAAGGAATATATTTCTCTTTCTGTCTTTCTCTAGGACCTGGAACAAGTGCACAAACATCTCCCAGCCAAGGTAGAGAAGCTTCTGAAGGCCAAATGTTTGGATGTTCTCGGTTACTATCGTCCGGAAAGTGGTAAATTTGGAATTTGCAGTATATTGGGGTGGCCTGGAGAAAGAGAATACAAGTTGTTGGGAGCCGAGAGTGCAGGCTGGGATTTGCAGTTTGCCGGGATTGGTTTTAAACCGACAAGAAAAATTAAATGTACAGGTACCGATTAGGTCATGGGTAGGCAACCTTGGCTCTTTTATGACTCGTGGACTTCAACTCCCAGAATTCCTGAGTCAGGTATGCTGACTCAGGAATTCTGGGAGTTGAAGTCCACGAGCCAAGGTTGCCTACCCCTGCCCTTGGTCATGTGATCAAAATTTGGACGCTCTCCCTTTCCCCTCAGCATGGCTGGCTCAGGAATTCTGGGAATTGAAGTCCACGAGACATAAAAGAGCCAAGGTTGCCTACCCCTGGATTAGGTGAAACCTAGCTCAATAGTAGCAACTGTGAGAGGGATCTCGGAGTTCTAGTGGACAATCAGTTAAATACTGCATCCAGTTTTGGTCACCACGATGTAAAAAAGATGTTGAGATTCTAGAAAGAGTGCAGAGAAGAGCAACAAAGATGATCAGGGGACAATCAAGCTATTCTCCAAAGCACCAGAAGGCAGGGCAAGAAGCAACAGATGGAAACTAGTCAAGGAGAGAAGCAACCTGGAACTGAGGAGAAATTTGCTGACGTTAAGAACAATCAACCAGTGGAACAGCTTGCCACCAGAAGTTGTGGGTGCTCCATCACTAGAGGGTTTTAAGAAGAGATTGGACAGCCATTTGTCTGAAATGGTATAGGGTCTCCTGCTTGAGCAGGGGGTTGGACTAGAAGACCTCCAAGGTCCCTTCCAACTCCAACTCTGTTATTCTGTCACCATGTTCCCACTCCTGTTCTTCACATCTTTTAGCCTCCAGCCCCCTAATCATCTTTGTTACTGGATCCCTGGAGGTTTTTAAGAAAAGAGTTAGACAGCCTTTTGTGTGACATTGTATAAATCAGGGGTCTTCAAACTTGGCCCTTTGATGACTTGTGGACTTCAGCTCCCAGAATTCCTCAGCCAGCGTGCCTGGCCCAACATTTCCGTTAATAAGCGAGACTGACGTTAAGGGAGTTTCGCCCCATTTTACACAATCTTTCCTGGCCACAACTGTTACGTGAATCACTGCACGTGATTCACGTAACAGTTAAGTGACTCACTTGTTAAGTGAGTCACACGGTCATTAAGTGAATCTGGATTCCCCATTGACTTTGCTGGTCAGAACATCACAAAACGGGATCACGTGACCCCCCGGGACACTGCAACAGTCCTAAGAACAAGTCAGTTGCCAAGCGTCCAAAGATTGATCATGTGACCGTGGGGATACTGCGAGAGTTGTGTGAAAAATGGGTTTAAGTCAATTTTTTTTCAGTGCTGTTGTCACCGAGAAACGATTGTCACTAAATTAATCGTCGTAAGTCAAGGACAGGGGTCTTCAAACGTGGCAACTTTAAGACTTGTGGACTTCAATTCCCAGAATTCCTCAGCCAGTGTGCCTGGCTGAGGAATTCTGGGAGTTGAAGTCCACAAGCAGGGCTCTTCCAACTTGGCCCTTTGATGACTTGTGGACTTCAGCTCCCAGAATTTGGCTGAGGAATTCTGGGAGTTGAAGTCCACAAGTCCTAAAAGGGCCAAGTTGGAAGACACCCCTCCGGACTAGAGTCTCCGGCTTGAGCAGGGGGTTGGACTAGATGACCCCCCCCCCAGGTCCCTTCCAACTCTTGTGAGTCTGTTCCTCTGACCTCTCTGAATTTGCTTTTTGAAGATAACGTGGGAGCCGCAGCCCAGACGATTATGCTGGGCGCCCTGGCCGAGAGCCTCGCCACAGAGAAGCAGCATTTGAAGGAGGCCAGAACTGACCACCAAGAACTGACCGGATGTCTGGAACAGCAAAAAGCCGTTTATCCCCAGGTAGAAATTATTGGTCCGTCCACCAGGTATCCGTTCTGCTCAGGATAGAAGCCCCCATTTCCTCTGTCTAGACTTTTGCAATTCCTGAGATTAGGATAAGCTTTTCAAACAGCGGCGCAAACGTTCTGTCTCTAAAATAAACCTGTTTGCGGGTTTTTTGGGAAAGGGCCGCGATAGTTTGATCCCAGATAAAGTATCTTTTGCTTCTGCAATCCTTGCTGTGGAATTTCCCCCCCTCCCCACCCCCAACCTCGGTCGGGAATCTGGCAGCAGCTGTACCCACCTCAACGAATTGTGCCGAAAGGCTGAAGTTCTCGTTTCATCGGCTGCATACGTTGATTTGATTTGATTTGATTTGATTCGGGGGTTTGAATCCCGCTTTTAGGAGGGCTTATAATAACTCAAGGCGGGCAAACCAATCCAATACGGCTCCTTCCTCCCGCGACAGTTTTACCCACAAGAGCTCTGCGAGGTAGGCTGGGTTGAGAGGCTGAGTGGCCCAAGGTCACCTCGCTGGTTTTTCCATGTTTAACGTGGGACTAGAACTCACTGTCGCCTGGTTGCTAGGTCAGCACCTTCACCACCACCACCACCATCAGCTTCCTCCTCCTCCTCCTCCTCCTCCTGCTCCTCCTAGCACCAATGACCCAACAGCCACCCTCCTCTTCCTCTCCTCCTCTCTGCAACCCTTTCCTTCTAGCACTGATGATGATCCCTAGTTGGGTCATGAAATGTCTGCGAGGAAACCACCAAGCTCAGAGAGCAACAAGGACGCCACAGTCCTCCTCCTCCTCCTCTCTCCATAATCCCCACTCCCTTCTAGCACTGATGATGTTCCCTGGTTGGGTCATGAAACGTCTGCAAGGAAACAAGCCAAGCTCAGGGAGCACCAAGGACCCCTCAGTTCTCCTCCTCCTCCTCCTCCTCCTCCTCCTCTTTCTCTTTTTCTCCTCCTCCTCTTTCTCTTCCTCTTTCTCTTTCTTTCTCCTCCTCCTCTTTCTCTTTCTCTTTCTTTTTCTTCTCTTTCTCTTCCTCTTCCTCTCTTTCTCTTTTTCTTTTTCTCTTTCTTTCTCTTTCTCCTCCTCCTCTTCCTCCTCTTTCTCTTTCTCCTCCTCTTTCTCTTTCTTTTTCTCCTCTTTCTCTTCCTCTTCCTCTTTCTCTTTTTCTTTTTCTCTTTCTTTCTCTTTCTCCTCCTCTTCCTCTTTCTCTTTCTCCTCCTCTTTCTTTCTCTTTCTCTTTCTCTTTCTTTTCTCTTTTTTCTTTCTCTTTCTCCTCCTCCTCCTTTCTCTTCCTTTCTCTTTCTCTTTTTCTCCTCCTCCTCTTCCTAATCTTCCTCTTTCTTTCTCTTTCTCCTTTTTTCTTTCTCTTTCTCCTCCTCCTCCTTCTCTTTCTCCTCCTCCTCCTCCTCCTCCTCTTTCTATTTCTTATTTCTCCTCCTCCTCCTAAAGGCAAGTGGAACAGCTTGCCTTCAGAAATCGTGGCCGCTCCATCACTGCAGATTTTTAAGAAGAGACTAGACAGTCACTTGTCTGAAATGGTATAAGTTCTCCTGCTTGAGCGGGGGGCTGGACTGGAACATGGGTCCCCAACGCTCAGTCCATGGACCAGTACCGGGCCACGGCATACCAGCAACCAGTTCACACAAACAAGCAAAGCCCCATCCATGGGATGCAGGCAGCACACAAAACCACTTACCCTCCGGTCCGCGGAGAAACCTCTCTCCACCGAACCAGTCCCTGGTGCCCCAAAGGTTGGGGACCTCTGGACTAGAAGACCCCCAAAGTCCCTTCCAGCTATTCTATTCTATTCTATTCTATTCTATTCTATTCTATTCTGTAATTCTATTCTATCCCGTAATTCTATTCTATTCTATTCTGTAATTCTATTCTATCCCGTAATTCTATTCTATTTCTATTCTATTCTGTAATTCTATTCTATTCTATCCCGTTATTCTATTCTATTCTATCCCGTAATTCAATTCTATTCTATTCTATTCTATTCTATTCTGTAATTCTATTCTATTCTATCCCGTAATTCTATTCTATTCTATTCCAGATCATTCCGTTATTATTCTATTCTATTCTATTCTATTCTATTCTATTCTATTCTATTCTATTCCATTCCATTCCATTCCATTCCATTCTATTCTGTAATTCTATTCTATTCTGTAATTCTATTCTATTCTATTCCAGATAATTCCGTTATTATTCTATTCTATTCTATTCTATTCTTTGCTGTTGTTCTATTCTATTCTATTCTATTCTATTCTATTCTATTCTATTCTATTCTATTCTATTCTATTCTATTCTTTCCTGTTGTTCTATTCTATTCTATTCTTCCTCTTCCTCTTTTTCTTTCTTCTCCTTCTCTTTCTCCTTCTCTTTCTCCTCCTCCTGTTTTTTTACCACTTCGGGTGCTGAGTGACTCTCTTTGCACCTAGAACCTCACTATTAACTTTGTACGGTTCACATAGCAGAGGTATTAGATGGAAATACTGAGGCATTTCTAACTAGGTTCTCTAGCATTGCAGCAGTCTATAAACACAACTAATAAATAAATTACTCCTAGTTGTGAGCTTCAAAAGCAGCTCTGTGTACAGCACGTTGAAACAGTTCAGTCATGTATTCACGTCTTTCTCGTTGGTCAGCTCAACGCCACGCCAACCTAATTCTCCCCCCTCCATTTTCTGTACGATAACAACTCTGTGGAGCAGATGGAGAAGAATGGGCAATAAAGTCACCCAGCTGTCTTTCATGGTTAAGATGGGACTATAACTCACTGTCTCCTGGCGATTAGCCCAAAGTCATGCAGCCAGCTCATGCCTAAACCAGGGCTAGAACTCACCATCTCCCGGTGATTTGGCCCAAAGTCATCAGTTGGCTTTCATGCTTAAGGTGGGACTAGAATTCCCAGTCTCCTGGTGATTGACCCCAAGACACCCAGCCACTTAAATGCCTAAGGAAGAACTAGAATTATCATCTCCTGGTGATTGACCCAAAGTCACCCAGCTGTCTTTAATGGCTAAGGTAGAACTAGAATTCACCATCTCCTGGTGATTGACCCCAAGACACCCAGCCACTATCATCTCCTGGTGATTGGCCCAAAGTCACCCAGCTGTCTTTGATGGCTAAGGCAGAACTAGAACTCACCATCTCCTGGTGATTGACCCCAGGACACCCAGCCACTTACATGCCTAAGGAGGAACTAGAACTTTCATCTCCTGGTGATTGGCCCAAAGTCACCCAGCTGTCTTTGATGGCTAAGGCAGAACTAGAATTCACCATCTCCTGGTGATTGACCCCAGGACACCCAGCCACTATCATCTCCTGGTGATTGGCCCAAAGTCACCCAGCTGTCTTTAATGGCTAAGGCAGAACTAGAACTCACCATCTCCTGGTGATTGACCCCAAGACACCCAGCCACTTACATGCCTAAGGAGGAACTAGAACTATCATCTCCTGGTGATTGGCTCAAAGGCACCCAGCTGACTTTAATAGGCTAAGGCAGGACTAGAACTCCCCGTCTCCGAGTGAAAGGCCCAGCGCTTAGCCACTACACCGAACTGGTTGACAGGAAGCCACTAAGGCCTGAATTATTCTGAGAAGAGACTGCCAATCCAGGGAAAGAATGCAGTCGTCACCCCTGATAGGTCTGTGCAAGGATGATCCATCTCTGGAGGCGTACAATAACTTCCTTTGCGATGGCCTCTAGAAAGAGTACAGAGAAGAGCAACAAAGATGATTAGGGGACTGGAGGCTAAAGCATATAAGGAACGGCTGCTGGAATTTGGTATGTCTAGTTTAATGAAGAGAAGGACGAGGGGGGACATGATAGCAGTCTTCCAATATCTCAGGGGCTGCCACAAAGAAGAGGGAGTCAAGCTATTTTCCAAGGCGCCTGAAGGCAGGACAAGAAGCAACAGAGGGAAACTAACCAAAGAGAGAAGCAACCTGGAACTAAGGAGAAGCTTCCTGACAGTGAGAACAATTAACCAGTGGAACAACCTGCCTCCAGGAACTGTGAATGCTCCAACACTGGAAGTTTTTAAGAAGAGACTGGACAGCCATTTGTCTGAAATGGTATAGGGGCTTGGACTAGATGACTCCAAGGTCCCTTCCAACTTTATTATTATTATTATTATATTATTATTACTATTATTACTATTATTACTATTATTACTATTATTACTATTATTACTATTATTATTATTATTATTATTATTATTATTATTATTATTTGCCTCTGCATTGTTGTTCCTGTTTGTTCCAGGTCCTGTTGCGTTGTTTAGGCCTATTGAAACGCTTTGCTCGTGAGTTTCGCCTCGGGGTCCAATCCGAACTGGACCAGCTCAACACCCTGTATCTGGAGATTAAATGCAGCGCTATGCTTCTCAAGATACGGTGAGCTCCTTTCTCGAATGGGAAGGCAAAAAAAAAACCTGCCGACTCCTAACGCCAATTTTCCCTATCAAAACACTCAATAATAGCATTGCGGTTGCCCTCGGGGGGTGGTGGCCAGGGGGGGTGGCCTACTGGGTGGGCGTGGATGGAGTGGGTGTGGCCTTCTGGGTGGGCGTGGCCAGCCCTACATCATTCGCGTCAAGGGTGCCTGTGGGGGCCTGGGCAGGAGTGGGACAGATCTGAGGGTCTCCGGCAGAAAGGGGTGGGACCGGAGCAGAGCCCATCAAGCCGGATAGGTGAAGTAGGCAAGGGCCATTTGCTGGCCACTTCCAGGCGATGGTGCATTTCTTCATTCCTCACAAAGGGTGACACCTGCCCAGCATGCACCCAGGGGACGGGGCCGACGCGGCAGGGGCTGGTTCCTCGCTGTATCCGGACGGCCTTGTGGAGCTAAGAATGAATGCGTTTCAGCATAGATGGCCACCACAAAATTGTACATTGGCTCCCGGCCGGGCCAGGGCCGGGGTCAAGGCAGCGGGGGCCATTCCCTCATTGTTTCCAGGATGGCTTCGCGGGCCACATGAAACCACTTCGCGGGACGCATCCGGCCCCCGGGCCTTGTGTTTGACATGTCTGAGATAGACCGATTGCTGGCAAAAGATACTTTTTTTCTGATAGGAAGAGAAAGTTGGTATCTATCAATCTCACTCCCAACTATTTTGCTTCTTCTAGGTTTGAGGAAGTGAAGATCCTGTTGGACACTTACACACCTGAGGTGGTGAACGTGCATCGGATAATGAGGTGAGCTGAACAGCATAGAATAGAATAGAATAGAATAGAATAGAATAGAATAGAATATATGGAAGAAATGGAAGAGAAGAGAAGAGAAGAGAAAATATGGAATGGAATAGAATAGAATAGAATATATGGAAGGAATGGAAGAGAAGAGAAGAGAAAATATGGAATGGAATAGAATAGAATAGAATAGAATAGAATAGAATAGAATAGAATAGAATAGAATATATGGAAGGAATGGAAGAGAAGAGAAGAGAAAATATGGAATGGAATGGAATAGAATAGAATAGAATATATGGAAGGAATGGAAGAGAAGAGAAGAGAAAATATGGAATGGAATAGAATAGAATAGAATAGAATAGAATATATGGAAGGAATGGAAGAGAAGAGAAGAGAAAATATGGAATGGAATGGAATGGAACAGAAAGGAACAGAACAGGACAGAATAGAACAACAGAGTTGGAAGGGACTTGGTTGGGACACAGAAACCTTCTCTATGGCCCTGCCTAGATTTAACTGAATAACAGAGTTGGAAGGGACCTTGGAGGTCATCTAGTCCAACCTCCTGCTCAGGCAGGAAACCCTATACCATTTCAGACAAATGGCTGTCCAGTCTCTTCTTAAAAACTTCCAGTGTTGGAGCATTCACTGCTTCTGGAGGCCGGTTGTTCCACTGGTTAATTGTTCTGACTGTCAGGAAGTTTCTCCTTAGTTCCAGGTTGCTTCTCTCCTTGATCAGTTTCCATCCGTTGCTTCTTGTCCTGCCTTCAGGCACTTTGGAGAACAGCTTGACTCCCTCTTCTTTGGGGCAGCCCCTGAGATACTGGAACACTGCTGTCATGTCCCCCCTCGTCCTTCTCTTCATTAAACTAGACATCCCCAATTCCAACAATCGTGATGTTTCTGCATAGCTTGGGAGGGGGAAAAAATGACTATGGCGCACTGAGGCGAGAATCCAGAAGGTCCTACGAGTGTAGTAGAAGTGAAATGCAGGCAGTCCTCAATTTACGACCGCAGTTGAGTTCAAAATTTCTGTGGCTGAGACAGTGTTTAAGTGGGTTTTGCCCCGTTATTACGACCTTTCTCGCCACCATTGTTAAGTGAATCACTGCAGTTGTTACAATTAGTAAACATGGTTGTTAAGTGACTCTGGCTTCCCTTGCTTGTCAGAGAAGTCGCAAAAGGGGGAATCACGTGACCCCGGGGGACACAACCACCGTCATAAGTCCGTGCCAGTTGCCAAGCATCTGAATTTTGATCACGCAACCACGGGGATGCTGCACGGGCCGTCAGTGTGAAAAACTGCCACGAGTCGCACTTTTTCCAGTGTGTTGTCATCTCGAGCGGTCGCTAAGTGAATTGGCGTAAGTTTGAGGACCACCTGGGCACGTTTTATCCGTTCTTTTCATTCTTCTCCAGGGACAAACTGCAGGCCAGCCTGAGCCAAGAAGAACTAGACCTGGCCACTTCGCGTGATATCCTTTCGAATTACGAGATCCTCGGGCCGGAATTTGAGGAGTTAGTCAAAGAATACACGCAGCTGCAAGAAATCATTCAGAACCGCCGGTGGGTGCTGACCAAGTTCAGCGAAGACTGAGGAGGCGGTGAGGACGGCCACATGATTTGCAGAAAATTGAAAAACAGCGCACAATAAATATCGCAGAATAAAATTTGAAATGTCCAGATTGCTTTCTTCTTCCTGCCTGCCAATCTCGCCACAAGACAGGGAGATAATTTTGAAATCCTTGTTTCTCATTGCCAAAACCTTCCAAGAATCAAGGAAAGTTGGGTGTTTCTTAAAGGGTGGCAGCTTTTAAGACAGAGAGACATGGCTGGCTGAGGAATTCTGGGAATTGAAGTCCACATGTCCTAAAGTTACCAACTTTGAGAAACCCTGATTTAACCTATCATGTCCGCCTTCTTGGCTTAATGCAGAAGTCGGGGGGAAATGCTGCTTTATTAAGCACAGAACAGTGTTTCTCAGATTATGGACTTCAACTCCCAGAATTCTCCAGCCAGCGTTGCTCGCTGGGGAATTCTGGGAGTTGAAGTCCACATCTCTTTAAAATTCCCGTGCTGAGGTAACCCAGAAGTAAATACAATAAACAGTGGTTTGTATTAAATGTGGGTTATATTGCACACTATCTACAAATATACACTAGGAACAAAATGCATTCACATGGTGAAACAGCAAACTCCAATATACAGCAATTACAGCAGTCAAAAGGACGAGAGAGAAAGATTCCAGCAAAAAACTTCCCTTTTATACTCATACTCTTAAAGGGATACACACACCTGCTGAGTCATTCCTATTATTGCATCATCCACATTACATTACATCTTTACATAAGCTATTTAGCTGTTAAATCAGCATCCTGACAAACTGGCAGGGTGTTTGCCAATTCTTCAAATTCATTCCCAGTTCTTCGCTTGATAAAGATACACAACCTTTTGAGGCCCACCCACCATTCCTGGTTGTGAACAGTGGTCCAGGAGACACACAAATGGAGACACACAAAATTGCCTTAATTAAATTATAGCTAAGATGATGACATTCCGGCATTTGGTGGTGGCTTGTCTGCTAGAAGGAGAATTCTATAACATATCCCAGTATTAAAGCACTTTTTCCCAGTCTATATTCTCTCTACAGGGAATAAAACAACTCCCAGAATTCCCCAAGCACCATGGATGCTTAGAGGATTCTGGGAATTGAAGTCCGTATTTATAGAGAGAGGGCTTGAGTTGGGATAGATTGTACCACAACGGGTTTTCAAGCTATAGAATCTGTTATTGTATTTAATTTTGTATTTTTTTTTAAATGACACTGCAGATGAAGAGACAAAGCACTAGTGCAGTGTTTGAATCTTTATTTCCCCCTTTCACCTTTAAATCACAGACTATCCCCAAAGTACTTTTCATTGTATGGGTTAAATTTATTGATATTTACCGTATTAAACACTAAAGCATGCATTTGCTGCTATTACTGTGTCTCACAATTATTCAACGGGAGGGAGATAAGGTGGTTAAGTAATACGAACTATAAATAAATGAATTTTAATATTGTATTATTTTTCAATGTAGGCTGGCAAATAATTTTGATTTTGCAAAGCTGAGATGTTTGGGGTGACTCGCAAGGGCCCTCGGATCACCCCGCTGTAGTGATAAAAAAAAAATCAGAAGCATCTGAGTGAATTTTGTCCTTAAACAGAACTTGGTAAAATCCTCTACATTTGGAAACAAATCTTTCCTGCTTTGCTATTCCATTGAATGACAGCAGTCTGGCACTCCAGCACGAAAATAACCTTGAAAATCTACTCTAGACATTTTATTGATCGATCGGTCAATAAATCAGGCTTGTTAGATTTTGCAGAATGTCACTTAAGCAACTTTCCATAATCACTGGAATTAATTTCTTGAACTTGGCTAAAGTCTTGCAGTTTCTCTTTTTTTTTAAAAAAAAAATGTGCTAATTAAAAGTTATAACTTCTTGGTTTCTTAGTGGTGAAAGTACTGTAAATGAAGCTTTTCTGCCAGTAGGGCTTAAAACAGAGGATGAAGCAAAACCAGCTTTTTCAGCCCTGAAATTTGTTAGTGTTTCTTAAGGCAGAAGGAGGAGGAGGAGGAGGAATAACAGAATAATTGTTGGAAGGGACCTTGGAGGTCTTCTAGTCCAACCCCCTGCTCAAGCAGGAGACCCTATACCAGGGGTAGGCAACCTTGGCTCTTTTATGACTGGTGGACTTCAACTCCCAGAATTCCTGATCCAGCATGGCTCAGCTTGGAAACCTCTCCCTTTTCCCTCAGCGTGGCTGACTCAGGAATTCTGGGAGTTGAAGTCCACGAGTCATAAAAGGGCCAAGGTTGCCTACCCCATCCCTATACCATTTCAGACAAGTGGCTGTCCAGCCTCTTCTTAAAAAGGAGGAGGAGGAGGAGGGTTGGAAGGGACCTTGGAGGTCATCTAGTCCAACCCTCTGGTCAAACAGGAGACTCTTATAACATTTCAATTTAATGGCTGTCCAATCTCTTCTTAAAATCTCCAGTGTTGGAGCACCCACAGCTTCTGAAGTTCCACTGATTAAATTGTTCTCACTGTTAGAAAATTTCTCCTTATTTCTAGCTTGGATCTGTCTTTGATTAATTTGCATTCATTGCTGCTTCTTCTGCCTTCAGGTGCTTTGGAGAATACAAACAATTCCATACCCTGTCTAGGATTCTGAAAAACACATCTTATTTGGAAAAAAAAGGCTTCTGTGTTTAATTCAAATTTGGGAAAAAAACAAGTGTTCAAGTGTTTGCAAAACTGATCACTGGCTAGTTTGTAAGAAGTGCAATTTTACTGAGGGGCTATCCATCTGGAGGTGTAGCAATGCAAATACAGTAAGTCCTTGACTTACAACCATTTGTTTAATGACTGACGTTACAACGGAACAGAAAAAAGTGACTGATGGCCATTTTTCACACTTAAAGAATGGAATGGAATGGAATAGAATAGAAAATATGGAATAGAATAGAATAGAAATAAGGAATGAAATTGAATGGAATAGAAAATATGGAATGGAATGAAAAATATGGAATAGAATAGAATAGAGAATAGAATATATAGAATAGAATATATAGAATAGAATAGAATAGAAAATATAGAATAGAATAGAATAGAATAGAATAGAATAGAATAACAGAATTGGAAGGGATCTTGTAGGTCATCTAGTCCAACCCCCCCACCATTGCAGCCTCCCCATAGTCATGTGATCAAAATTTGGCATCCTTGGCAACTGATTCACATTTATGACGGTTGTAATATCCCAGGGTCACATAATCCCCTTTTCCAATCTTCTGACAAGTAAAGTTAATGGGGAAGCCGTATTCGCTTAACAACCGAGTAACAAGTGCTATGATTCACTTCACAATTGTGGCAAGAAAGATTGTAAAATGGGACAAAACTCGCTTAGTGAGGGAAATTTTGGGCTCAGTTAAGGTCTACATGTATATCAATGTATATTTTGGTTTGCCTTCAATACATCCATAGACCAAATTGAATTGTAAGGAGCAACTCTTGAATATAAATTCTGCATCAAAACTATTTTCTTGCAAAAGGCTACATCTTTTTCTTTAAGAATTAGGCAGGTGAAAGTTTCATATCCTTTACAATGTCCCTATGTCCTAATTCGATTTCCTAAAGTGCAGTTTAATTTTTTTTTTAAGATAATCTCTTTAATAAAAGAAATTAATTTATGCATCTCAGCAAAATCTCTCAACCTTACCAACCGTCCTTCCATCATGGTGACTAGGAGACAAATCTTCCCATCTCTTCCTTATCAAATATTTATTCAGATGAAATTGAATGTACCAAAAAACCGTACATTCACTTGGAGAGATAATAAGACGTACAGATAACAAAAAGCTAAATGCTGAATAAAACAAAAATGAAATATTTGGTACTTTTTTTTCCAGAATGGTCGAAATCACATTATTGGTATCAATATCTCCTGATAGATTGTATAATTAAAAAAGATTTTTTAAAATAAAATAGTATATACATATATATATGTGTGTGTGTGATATACGTATTTCTGTCACATATATATGCCATTTATATATATGTGTGTGTGTGTGTCATATATTTGTCACATATATGTCACATATACTGTATATGCCATTTATATATATGTGTGTGTGTTATATATTTCTGTCACATGTCACATATATATGCCATTTATATATGTGTGTGTGATATATTTCTGTCACATATGTCACATTATATGCCATTTATATATATATATGACAGAAATATATATATACATATATATGACATATATGTCATATGTATATATATACTGCTCAAAAAAATAAAGGGAACGCAAACTCCTTCAGTTCCATGTTAAATGTTCCCTTTATTTTTTTGAGCAGTATATATTTCTGTCATATATATCTGTCTATATCTATATCTATCAGAACAAAGTTACTCAAAACTCGAAAAAAAACCCAAGAAGACAAAAAAGAAAAAAACACACCACAGTCAAAGCATTAAAAATACAGCTTTTTTTCTTTATTTTTTTTTTAATAAAGATCAAAAAACATTAGTCTGAATCGAGCCAGCCAGGAGTCGAACCTAGAATCTTCTGATCCGTAGTCAGACGCGTTATCCATTGCGCCACTGGCCCTCAGACATACCAGCATCTTTATAGTATCTCCTTTATAGAGCACTGTAAGGGGAGCCCGCGCTTCTGACAACGCTCTAGCGCTTTGTCGGTACAACTGCTGCATCTTGGGAATTATAGTTCTATGGAGGGGTAGGGAGCAATGCACTGTGGTCTATGTAGTCATAGAAACTCAACAGTGGAAAGCCCTATTCTCTCAAGAGAAAAAGCCGGGCTGTTCTCTTTCCAGAGGCATGATGGGAAATGGCTTTTTTCACCTTCTCAAGTTAGGAAGCCCCGCCCCCCAGCCGCGCCCCAGCGTGGATTCTGATTGGCTCCTCTTGGCGCACGCTGACTCCTCCCCTTCAAGGTCCCGGCTTCGGCCTCTCGTGATTGGCGGGTTCAGTCCGAGGAAGGGAGGGGGCGTGGCTAGCCGGCTCTTGGATCCCTGTGCGGCGTGCCATGGCGGCGATGGCGGCAGCGGTGGGGCCGGGCACAGGCGGCGTGGCTCGGGTCTCCTGCGGGAGGGACCTGAGCTGCGTCCCAGAAGTGGCGGGCACCCTGGGGGCGGTTGCTAGACAAGGGTGAGGAAAACCACGTGCTCCGCCAGCGACCTTTGACCTGCGGCGTTCGGGCCAGGATGACCTCTGACCTCTACCTGTGGTCACCTGAGGGAAGGGGGAGGGCACGAGCCGGCTTGAAGGCCGTTATCTTCACCCCTGGGATGACCTCTGACCCCAGATCGACCCCCACCCCATAAGGCGTACTGGGAGTACAGCTTCCATCATTGCCAGAAAGCGTGGCATGATGGGAGTTGTAGTCCAGGTGGAAGTGAGGCTAACATCTTTTTTCCAAAAAAAAAAAAAAAAAGTGGCGAGATCTTCAGTTGGGTTATTCTAATACAGTCAGGGGGGGCTATTGGGGTGTGTGTGTTTTTGTGTGTGTGTGTCTCACAAATGTATCTCCCTCCAAAATTGGTGGCAAAGGTTGACTGGGATGGATACTAGTACTTTTCAATTTTAAATATTAGAGAGTTGAAGATGCAGTTATGAGATTTGTGGATAACACCGGTAAGGCTGAAATGTATTTAGTTTTTTTAAAATTGTATTTATTTACTTATTTATCAAACTTCTATGCTGCTCATCTGATCCATGACAGTTGCCTCGGAAGACAAAAATGAGATAGAAAAGAAGCTTGCTAAGTTTATCTATCCATCCATCCACCCATCCCTCCTCTATCCTCTATCCATCTTGTTGTTAGTTGCGAAGTTGTGTCTGACCCATCGCGACCCCACGGACAAAGTTCCTCTAGGCCATCCTGTCCTCTACCATCTTCTGGAGTCCATTTAAGTCTATCCATCTATCCATTCATTATCTATTTACAGTGGTACTTTGGAACTCATCGTTAATTGAAGAACGGCTGAAGGATTTGAGTATGGCCAGCCTAGAGAAAAGAAGTAGGGGGGATGTGATAGCAGTATTCCAGTATTTGCGAGGTTGCCACAAACAATAAGGTGGTTAACCTATTCTCCAAAACATCTGAAGGCAGGACAAGAAACAATGGATGGAAACTAATCAAGGAGAAAAGCAACTGGAATTAAGGAGAAACTTCCTAACAGTGAGGACAATTAACCAGTGGAACAGCTTGCCTTCAGAAATCGTGGGCGCTCCATCACTGGAGGTTTTTAAGAAGAGACTAGACATCACTTGTCTGAAATGGTATAGGTTCTCCTGCTTGAGCAGGGCACTGGACTAAAAGACCTCTAAGGTCACTTCCAGATTCTATTCTATCCCTATCCCTATTCTTGCAGTGAGTACCAAGCAAATTTTTGCAGTACCAAGCAATTTTTTGCAGTGAGTACCAAGCAAATTATCATTCCTGTAAGGAATGATATAGTGAGCCACAAGGCATCCGGCACCGAGAAGTTCTAGCTTGTGCGTTGAGTACCAAACAAATTATGAGTACCGGGACAAATTTTTTAGCATCAAAATGCATTGAGTACTAAATTGGATGAGTTTCAAAGCAGTTGAGTACCAAGGTACCACTGTGTCTGTCTGTCTATCTATCATTGTGTATTTAAGTAGATTTGCCAGGAAATCGTGTTCTGCTATAATAAACAGAAAAAGAGTTGGAAGGAACCTTAGAGGTCTTCTAGTCTAACCCCCTACCTAAGTAGGAGATCCTATAGTATACCATCCTGGACAAAGTGGTTGTCTAATTTCTTCTTATAACCTTCAGTGATGCAGCATCCACTTCTGAAGGAAAGCCATTCCACTGAATTTTTCCTTATTTTATAGGTTGGCCCTCTCCTTGATAAGTTTCCATCCATTACTTCTTGCCTTTCCCTCAAGTCATTTGGAGAATAGGTTGACCCCTTCCTCTCTCTGACAGCCCCTCAAATACTGGAAGACGGCTATCCTGTCTCCCCTTGCACCCTTCTATTCATTAGACTAGTCCAAGGGTAGGCAACCTTGGCTCTTGACTCGTGGACTTCAACTCCCAGAATTCCTGAGCCAGCCATGCTGAGGGGAAAGGGAGAGGTTTCCAAGCTGAGCCATGCTGGCTCGGGAATTCTGGGAGTTGAAGTCCACGAGTCAAGATTGCCTACCCTTGCGTTAGCCATACCTGGTTCCTGTAACTGTTCTCACAGGGTGATTCTGGTTTAGAGAAAAGGAGATTCTTGTTCTTTCTTTCCCCACCAGTGAGTTCCAGACACCAATTAATGATGTCTACTTATTTTGGCCCTCTTATGCTATCTTTCCCCAGTGAGGAGGAGGGCTAGGGTGATCAGCCAAAAGATAAACGGTGGATAGCTCCCACTGCAAATTTATGTTGCTATAATCCCAACAAGGAAATTGCACCAACTGATTAGGTCTACAGCGGGCAAAGACAGTTTCCAATATCAGATTTTAAACTCGTGGTGGTGGCTGAAAAAAGGGCCGGGAGCCAAAATAGATTTATAATTTAACGGTGATAAGAGTTTTGTGCGCTTAAAAATTAGAATTGGGCAAGTGAGGCAATTAGTTACGACACGGGTTGACTGCTGAAGCTCAACATGAATTCTAAGCGGTGTGCGAAATTCAAAGCAGTGATGATGTCAGGCAGGTAGTCCTCAGTTTATGACCACAATTGAATCCCAATTGTTAAGGGAGACCTTGGTTAAATGACCTTTGCCCCATTTTACAACCTTTCTTGCCACAATCCCTGCATCTTTATCTTTATCTTCTTTCCTCTCCCTCTTTTCTATCCTCTCTCTCATCTAACTCCCTCCCTTTCCTATGTTCTTTTCTCTCATCTTCCTCCCTCCCCCCTTTTTTCCTTCCTCTTTTTATCTTCTTTCCTCTCCCTTTCCTTCCACTTTTCTATCTTCTTTTCTCTCATCTCCCTCCCTCTTTCCTATGTTCTTTTCTCTCTCATCTTCCTCCCTCCCTCCACCTTCTTTTCTTCCTCTTTTTATCTTTTTTCCTCTCCCTCCCTCCTTCCCTCTGTCCCACCCTCCCTTTCCTTCCACTTTTCTATTTTCTTTTCTCTCTCTCATCTCCCTCCCTCCCCCCTTCTTCCTCTTTTCTATCTTCTTTCCTCTCCCTCCTTCGGTCCCTGCCTTTCTTCCACTTTTCTATCTTTTCTCTCATCTTCCTCCCTCTTTCCTATGTTCTTTTCTCTCTCATCTGCCTTCCTTCCTTCCCCCTTCTTTCCTTCCTCTTTTCTATCTTCTTTTTCTCCCACACTCCCTTTCCTTCCACTTTTCTATTTTCTTTTCTCTCTCTCATCTCCCTCCCTCCCTCCTCCCTTCTTTCCTTCCTCTTTTCTATCTTTTTTCCTTTCCCTCCCTCAGAGTTTGGCTTGGTTGTTCTAGCCCTGGACCAAAGTCCCCTTTTGGGGTTCATGTTGGGCATGGAGGCCAGCAGCACCGGTCTCCTACATCTTCTCACAGTAAAAAAAGAGGTTGAGACTCTAGAAAGAGTACAGAGAAGAGCAACAAAGATGATCAGGGAACTGGAGGCCAAAGCATTTAAGGAAAGGCTGCTGGAATTGGGGATGTTTAGTTTAATGAAGAGAAGGACGAGGGGGGACAGGATAGCAGTCTTCCAGTATCTCAGGGGCTGCCCCACAGAAGAGGGAGTCAAGCTATTCTCCAAAGCGCCTGAAGGCAGGACAAGAAGCAACGGATGGAAACTAACCAAGGAGAGAAGCAACCTGGAACTAAGGAGAAACTTCCTGACAGTTAGAATAATTAACCAGTGGAACCACCTGCCTCCAGAAGCGGTGAATGCTCCGACACTGGAAGTTTTTAAAAAGAGACTGGACGGCCATTTGTCTGAAATGGTATAGGGTTTCCTGCCTGAGCAGGGGGTTGGACTAGATGACCTCCAAGGTCCCTTCCAACTTTTTTATTATTATTATTATTATCATTATTATCATTATTATCATTATTATCATTATTATCATTATTACATTGATCTGGAACTTCAGTTGCAGCTGACTCACTCCAGAGATGCAGCCAACAGCTCTCGCGTTTTACGTTCAATTTCAAAGCTTGGATTCCTTTCTCCTTCAGATCCTGGCAGTTGTGCAATCTTTCCCCGGGCCGCCCAGTTCTTCAGCCCATCTGGCAGCCCCCAAGTTCTTTTGAGCATAATCTCCCAAAAAATGTACAGGAAGGCATTTGCAGCGGGGATAGCTGTTTTCAAGTCTGATTCAGCAAAAGCCACATCTTAGGGGCACCTTAAGGACTGACATAAACATTTGGGAATTACAGTCCGTAAATCTTTTATCTGAGGCATTTTTGGCTGCCTTAGCAGAAAAACAAACAATTCCAGCGGATAAACATTTGTCTGGAGGCAGTTCCTAGTGTCTTAAGAGCTATCATAAAAAAAAAAGAGAGAGAGAAATAATAATCTCAAAAAAAAGCTTTGGAGATAAGCGTCATTGCCGGCTCTTAATGATCATTTTTCAAAAAAAAAAAAAAAGGAGAGGGGATTTGAGCTGTTCTGAGTTACCTCTATTTCATTCAAATATACCCTTAATTCTTTGTCAGCAATCCAAAATTTTGAAATATATATATATATATTTTAAAAAAAAGAATTTATTGGTAAATGCATGTCGATCAGTATTGTCTGTTGCTCCGAGGAGAATGAACGTTATGCCATCTGTCCATCAATACAAAACGCTCAGAGAGGCTTCCGATCAGCAGAACTGAAACGGTGCGGGTGCAAATGATAGAGCAATTAGAAAGGAGAAAGGGCAGCGGCGAATAACGGCATTGTGAGGAAATTAACATTTCACAGCTCAGCAGATCAGATGGCCCTCGGAATGAGAAATGACCTTACACAGCAGAAGAAATTCATCAGGGGGAGAATGGTGGGGGTGCTTTCGTTGGGTAAGGCCACCCGTGGAATTCTGCATCCAGTTTTGGTGGCCACGATGTAAAAAAAAAACCTGTTGAGACTCTGGAAAGAGTGCAGAGGAGAACAACAAAGATGATTAGGGGGCTGGAGGCTAAGATTGATGATGATGATGATGATGATGATGATGATGATGATGAGTTGGAAGGGACCTTGGAGGTCATCTAGTCCAACCCTCTGCTCAGGCAGGAAACCCCATACCGTTTCAGACAAATGGCTGTCCAGTCTCTTCTTAAAATCTTCCAGTGTTGGAGCATTCACCGCTTCTATAAAGAACTGGAATTGGGTATGTCTAAGTTTAATGAAAAGAAGGACTAGGGGAGACATGATAGCTGTCTTCCAATACTTGAGGGGGCTGCCACAAAAAAGAGGGGGAGGGTCAAGCTATTCTCCAAGGCGCCTGAAGGCCGGACAAGAAGCAACGGATGGAAACTAGTCAAGGAGAGAAGCAACCTAGAACTGAGGAGAAATTTCCTGACAGAACAATTCACCAGTGGAACCACCTGCCTCCAGAAGCTGTGAATGCTTCAACACTGGAGGTTTTTAAGAAAAGACTGGACAGCCATTTGTCTGAAGTGGTATAGGGTCTCTCCTGCCTGAGCAAGGGGTTGGACTAGAAGACCTCCGAGGTCCCTTTCCTTCTGTTATTGTTATTTAGTTAAATCTAGGCAGAGAAGGTTTCTATCTGCGTCCCAACCAAATACAGGTTTCAAGAATGAGGTGCGACTCTTCAAAGTTATGACAGACCCCTGAAAAGGTACTTCTGCCCCAAATTCATAGATAATAATAATAATAATTAATAATAATAATAATAATAATAATAATAATAATAATAATAATAATAATAATAATAATAATAGAGTTGGAAGGGACCATGGAGGTCTTCTAGTCCAACCTCCTACTCAGGCAGGAAACCCTATACCATTTCAGACAAATGGCTGTCCAGTCTCTTCTTAAAAACCTCCAGTGTTGGAGCATTCACCACTTCTGGAGGCAGGTTGTTCCACTGGTTAATTGTTCTAACTCTCAGGAAATTTCTCCTCAGTTCTAGGTTGCAGTTCTGACTGCTGAACCCCTGGCGCCTGCCTGAGGAATTCTGGGAGTTGAAGTCCACAAGTCATAAAAGGGCGAAGTTTGAAGACCCCTGGCTTAGTCAGTGAAGCGTTTTTTCACAATGCATGTTGGTTACCATACATCAATGTTTCTCACCCTTGGCTGCTTGACGATGCGTGGACTTCAACTCCTAGAAATCCCCATCTGGAATTCTGGGAATTGAAGTCCACCTGTCTTCACGCTGCCAAGGTTGAGAAACATTACCATATATCATTTTGAAAGTCCCACTAAGCTAAAATCTAGCCAACTTTTTTGTAGTTGGGTCCGTTGTAGAAACGCAGCCAGCCATGTTGTGTCTTCCAACATCGGGGTCTTCACACCCCTGTTTTTTTTTTCCCTCCCTCCCACCTCTTCCGTAGGTTTGATTTTCTCTGCATGCCGATTTTCCATCCGCGCTACAAGAGAGAATTTTTCCAGGAGCCAGCTAAACACCGACCAGGACCGCAGACTCGCTCTGATCTATTACTCTCAGGGAGAGGTGAGAACTTCAGGAAACGTGATTTCACTTCATGTCCCTGAACATAGAGGACAAAAAAAATTGCAGGATGTTCGTTCATTATTCGTTCATTCATTCATTCATTCATTCATTCATTCATTCATTCATTCATATCCCGCCTTTATTATTTTCAGAAATAACTCAAGGCTGCAAACACATCCAATGGACCTTCCTCTTCCTATTTTCCCCATAACAACAACCCTGTGGGGTGGGCTGGGCTGAGCGAGAGGGATTGGCCCAGAGTCACCCAAGCTGGCTTTTGTGCTTAAGGTGGGACTAGAACTCACCGTCTCCTGGTGATTGGCCCAGAGTCACCCAGCTGGCTTGCATGCCTAAGGCAGGACTAGAACTCACTGTCTCCTTTTGATTGGTCCAGAGTCACCCAGCTAGCTTGTGTGCCTAAGGCGGGACTAGAACTCACTGTCTCCTTTTGATTGGTCCAGAGTCACCCAGCTGGCTTTTGTGCCTAAGGCGGGACTAGAACTCACTGTCTCCTTTTGATTGGTCCAGAGTCACCCAGCTAGTTTGTGTGCCTAAGGCGGGACTAGAACTCACTGTCTCCTTTTGATTGGTCCAGAGTCACCCAGCTGGCTTTTGTGCCTAAGGTGGGACTACAACTCACTGTTTCCTTGTGATTGGTCCAGAGTCACCTAACTGACTTGAGTGCCTAAGGCGGGACTAGAACTCACTGTCTCCTTTTGATTGGTCCAGAGTCACCCAGCTGGCTTGTGTGCCTAAGGCAGGACTAGAACTCATTGTCTCCTTTTGATTGGTCCAGAGTCACCCAGCTGGCTTTTGTGCCTAAGGTGGGACTACAACTCACCGTCTCCTGGTGATTGGTCCAAAGTCACCCAGTTGGCTTTCATGCCTAAGGCGGGACTAGAACTGACCGTCTCCTGGTGATTGGCCCAAAGTCACCCAGCTGCCTTTCAAGCCTAAAGCGGGACTAGAACTCTCTGTCTCCCAGTGATTGGCTCAAAGTCACCCAGTTAGCATTTATGTCTAACATGGAACTAAAACTCACTGTCTCCCAGTGATTGGTCCAGAGTCACCCAGCTGACCTGTAATTTATAAAAGCTAAGCCCTGTTTTCGTTGTACCTGGAGACCCGGGAAGCTTAATTAAAGCATTTCTGTTTTTCTAACTTCACTTACACACAATCCTGGCCCGTTTGTGCTACCTCAAACAAACAAACAAAAGTAAAAATGAGAAAATAGTGGAATTGCTTAATTCCTGGTGAATTCTTAATTAAGTCGATTTGGCGCGGATATTGTTCATTATTATTCAGATTTTTCTTGCATGTGATTTGGGTGGTTTTAACCTGCCTACCCCATTCCCAGCATGACTCTACTAAACCAACTTCCATGTTTGTGCGAACGTACCCGATATCTTGCTCCTCCTTAGACTGGAACACACTGATTGTGGGGAAACTGTCGCCGTGGATCCGGGCAGATTCCGAACTGGAGAAAGTGCGCAGGAATTCGGAGGCGGTGAGTGACCTTGGCAAGGGAAGACGTATCAATGGACGCTTTGGTAACGCAGGCACATTTTTGTACGGTGGCAACAAGAAGCGAAGAATAACCTTTGAGAAGATACTTTACTGGGCTAGTCTTCTGAATCCATGGATTCGGAATCAGTTTCCAGAATGCATGGGAAAGGGTAGGGACATGTTGTAATCTGGACTTAATTTGGCGTAAGAAACAATTATTTTCACAGAGGTGATGGCTGTAGTTACTTTAAAGCTACTGTAAACTCGTTTAGAGCGGGGATCTCCAGACTTGCCAACTTTAAGACTACTGGACTTCAACTCCCAGAATTCCCCAGCCAGCACGGTTAAAGTTAAAGCCCACTAGTCTTAAAGTTGGCAATTGGCTGGCTGGGGAATTCTGGGAGTTGGTCCAGATATCTTAAATGTTGGCAATTGGCTGGCTGGGGAATTCTGGGAGTTGAACTGCACACATCTTAATGTTGGCAATTGGCTGGCTGGGGAATTCTGGGAGTTGAAGTCCAGACATCTTAATGTTGGCAATTGGCTGGCTGGGGAATTCTGGGAGTTGAACTCCACACATCTTAATGTTGGCAATTTGCTGGCTGGGGAATTCTGGGAGTTGAAGTCCACACATCTTAATGTTGGCAATTGGCTGGCTGGGGAATTCTGGGAGCTGAAGTCCACTAGTCTTAAAAGCTGTCAAGTTCAAAGACCCCTGGATTAGGGAATGGGAGGTATACAGGTGGTCCTTGATGTACGATCCTGTGTTCACATGAATGCAGTGTAGATTTTTTTTGGGGGGGGGGGAGAAGCTAGCCTTTACTTCCAGTTTCTGGCCAAAACCACTTCTTGCCGCCGCTGCTAAGTAAATCACTGCAGTGGTTCAATTAGTCGTGGGGTTGTTCACCGAACCCGGCTTCCCCCGTTGACTTTGCTCGTCAGAAGGTCACCAAAGGGGATCGCGCGAGACCCCGGGAGACTGTGACCATCGTAAATACAAGTCAAGTTGCCAAGCACTCTGAATTTTGATCACATGGCCGTGGGGGAGGCTGCAATGGTCGTAAAGGTGGAAAACTGGTCCTAGGTCACCGTTGCGACTTTGAACGGTCACTAAGTGTTGTGATTCCTTGCCAGCCAGTGGACCTGGCAGCTGAGTCTGAGGAATCGGAGGAGGAGGGGGAGGAGGGGCCTGGAGTGACATCAGAGTCAGAGGAAGGCTCTGAGGAGCTCCAAGACTTACAGTCAGATGAGGAGCCTGGCCCCTCTACTCGCGCTCAGGCTGAGACACAGCTGTGCTGGGAGTCTGAGTTGGACAGTGATGAAGAACAGCTGGGACAAATCCCAGATGCACGAAGGCGCAGGCAGGAGAAGCGAGTAGGACAGAGGGATGCAATGGGGCGGCTCCAAAGGCAAAGGAGAAGGCGTTAGGAAGCCACGCCTTGGCTGCATAATAAAAGGGAAGGTGTGGGAGGTGCTGGTTGCCGAAGGCAGCCTTTTGTGTTGAGGAATTGAGTTTTTGTGAACTGTGTTTGTTTGCCTTGGACATTGACTCAGGTCTGTGAATAATAAAAGGGGATTGGTTTTTTTCCTGGCTCCAGCCTGTTTGTTGGAAGAGGGGTTCCTCCTTGTAAGTTTAACAAGGACTCACGTAGGCTGGGACAGAACACACTCAACAGATGCTTGTAAACCGAGGAGCGCGTACACAGGACCGCAAGCTGTCATCTTAATCTCTCTGATTTTCTGTTTTGTTGCAGGCCATGTTGGAGGAGCTGAATTTTGGGGCTTATTTAGGGCTCCCCGCTTTCCTGATTCCCTTGACCCAGGCGGACCACCCCAACCTGGCACGTGTTCTGTGTAACCACATCAACACCGGCCACCACACGTCCATGGTACATCCAGGGGGCTGGAGGCTAAAACATATGAACGTTGCTGGAATTGGGGATGGCTAGTTTAATGAAGAGAAGGACCAGGGGTGACCTGATAGCATATTTGAAGGGCTTCCACAAATAATAACAATAGCCAACAACAACAACAATAATAATAATAAAAAGTTGGAAAGAACCTTGGAGGTCATCTAGTCCAACCCCCTGCTCAGGTAGGAATCCCTATACCATTTCAGACAAATGGCTGTCCAGTCTCTTCTTAAAAGAGGAGGGGGGGGTCAACCTATTCTCCAAAGCCCCCAAAGGCAGGACAAGAAGCAACGGATGGAAAGTAATCAAGGAGAGAAGGAACCTGGAACTAAGGAGGAATTTCCTGACAGGACAATTTATTTATTTATTTATTTATTTATTTAATTACATTTATATCCCGCCCTTCTCCTTGTGGACTCAGGGCGGCTGACAATAGATAAAATGCTAACATGTTATACATCTAATTAAAAATCGATTAAAAAGAAATATTTAAATACGTCCAATTTAAAAATAATTAAAACCCCTTTAAAATCCCTTAGGCCAGTCCCGCGAGCTGGAACAACCACGTCTTGAGGGCGCGGCGGAAGGAAGGGAGATCAGGGATCACCCTGA